CACACACACACACACACACACACACACACACACACACACACACACACCCCTCCACCTCTCTAATATTTTTTTTTTAAAAAAATATCTTCAGATAGTTACAGAAGAGTCCCACAGGCTTCTAAGAAGGAGTCTAGATCTTGGCCTGGTATTTCAATAATAGACTGTGATGTGTCCAGTTCTTGTCACTTTGCTTTAAAAATGATGTAGATTAATTCACATACCAATAGGCCACAAACATAAAAATCAGATAAAACATTAGTCTAACTATTGGCTTTGCCCTTTTTTTTTTTCCCCTTGCTGGCACTTTGCTGAGATTTTCCAGTACAATATTGCAAAGGTCCACAAGATGGCGACAGAACTCTAAAATACTTTCCAAAACTAGCTTTGGAAAAGATCCTGTATTGCCCTGATGAAAGTAAAAGTTTAAAAATGTCCCGTAGTGGTGCACACCTTTAATCCCAGCACTTGGGAGATAGAGGCAGGCAGATCTCTGTGAGGTCAAGGCCAGCATGGTCTACAATACCTATTTTCAGGATAGCTAGGGTTGAGAAACCCTGTTTCAAAAAACAAAACAAAAAAAGTCTCCTTTAGAATTTATGGATTTGTTCCAATGCTTGCTCTGCTAGTTTTTGCAAGGTGTAGCTTTGTTTCGATAAATAACACTGCTGAAGAGCAATGTTGCTGAGTTAATTTGATGTTTGTCTCAGGTTCTAACAGACATCAATACTGTCTCCTTAACTCTCTACTCTCTCTATGACCTCTGTTATGTCTCTGTTATGACCTCTAGTCCCTGATCCCTGTCAACAAAACTTCAGAACGTAGGGCTGGAGAGTGCTTATTGCTCTTGAGAATTTGGTTGTCAGCATTCACGTAGCAGTTCACAATCACTGGTAACTAACTATAGCTCCAGAGAATCCAACCCATCTTCTGGCCTCCTTGGTTTCTTACATGCATGTGGTGCATATAAACTCATGCAGACATAGAAGGGAGGGTATATGAGAGGATTTAGAAGGAAAATTATATAATTATAATATAATCTCAATAAATAAAATTTTTAGATTAAATTTCAAAAACCCTTCATAAACTGTAGTAGGAGGCAGCTTGTTTGTTTCTGACTGCTCAGCCCTGAAATAATCACACAGAGACTATATTATTTGCAATACTGTTTTTCCAATAGCTTAAGTGTATTTCTGACTAACTCCTATTCTAAACTAACCCATCTCCATTAATCTGTGTATCACCACATGGCTGTGACTTACTGGCAAAATTTTGGCATGTCTGTCTCTGGTGGCAACTTCATGGCTTCTCCCTGACTCCACCCTTTTTCTCCCAACATTCAGTTTAGTTTTCCCCACCTAGCTCTACTCTACCCTGTAGCATGAGGGGCCGGCTTGTTGGGGTTTCTGTCCTGCCCGGTAACCCACAGCCGGCAACTCCCAACAAAAATCACACACAGGACTCCATAAGATTATATTTTCCAACCGTAAAAGCCACAGTTTTAGTCCTCTCCTTAAAGACTCATGTGGTCAGAAAAAGAGAGATATACAGTAAAGAGAGATTCAAAGACGAAGAAAACCTCTAAATGGTTTATAGTGTGTTAAAAATATATGCAGGCTAAAAGGTTAAAGTCATTAAAAAGAAAAAAAGAAAAAAATGGAGTAGTTGGGTGTGGTGGTACACACCTTTAATCCCAATGCCTGGAAGGCAGAGGCATATTGACCACTGTGACTTCAAGGGGCAGAGGTACATTGACCTCTGTGACTTTAAGGTGTGGTACCACACACCTTTAAACCCAAGGCCTGGGAGGCAGAGACAGACAGATCTCTGAGTTCAAGGTGTGGTAGCATACACCTTTTATCCTAGCACTGGGGAGGCAGAGACAGAGGAATCTCTGTGAGTTCAAGGACAGCCTGGTCTACAGAGTTATTCCAGGACAAAGATATACAGAGAACCTGTGTCAAAAAGTAAAAGTAAAAATAAAAGAAAAAGAAGTTAAAATAAAGCCACATAAAGATGGAAAATATACAGAGAATCTTGATACAGTATGCTAGTATGCTCTCTTTGAATTGTTTGAATGCTGAGGAAGGAGCAACAGCTGCTAAAAGACTTTTTTATAAATGCTGCTGAACTAACCCAAGATAGGTATTTTGAAAATATCTTGGCTTCAAAACTGAAGTCAACAAGTATGTTACTTTGGAGAAGAGATTTTGCTTTTGTTTCCACAGAAAATGAGAGGCTATGGATTCATTCTGAGTTAAGAAAAATCCAGTTTGACAAAGGACGACCACCCGAGAAATTCCCAATAGGAACAGATGGCCCAGATGACAGAGTTCTACATCCAGAACAGATTCAAGACTGCTGCCTGAGATGATCAAGACTCACAGGATACTCCAGTCAGGACTTGATTATAACTCTAAATTTTCTTTAGGTCCCCATAAGATCATCAGCGCCCCCAACCAGCAGGAAGTAGCCTGAAATACTATTCCCACATTTCCAACAAATGGATTATGGGTATTTTCCTTTGTTTTAAAAAAAAAAAGAGGGAAATGGTGTGGGAGAATTGTCTGTATTCTGTCAATCATATTTTAATAAAACGCTGATTGGCCAGGCAGGCAGTATAGGCGGGAAAACCAGAAAGGAAGTAGGGGTGGAACAAAGAGACTGGGAGTATTCTGGAAGCAGAAGCTCCCTCAGCCAGTTCTACCCAGACCACCAGAGAGAAAAGATGTAAGTTGCCCCGCTGGAAAAGGTACTGAGCCATGTGCTAACATAGATAAGGATAATGGGGTAACATAAGTTATAAGAGCTAATAAGTAGCCTGACCTAATGGGCCAACCAGTTTATAACCTAATGTAGACTTTGTGTGATTTTCTTTTGGGGGCATGCCGGTTGTGGGGTACCGGCGGGACAGAAACCCCAACAAGCCGGCCCCTCATGCTGCACTACCCTATTAGGCTGAACCAATTTCTTTATTTATTAACCAATAAAAGCAACATATATACAGAAGGACTTCCTACATCAATAAACCAGGGAAGGCAGTGTAATGCAGTGGTAAGGGAGTAGATTCCAGAGGCTTCTTGCTTGTGTTGAAATATAGCCTATAAGTTACTATTTGTTATTCATCAATCACTCACTTTTGTGTCTCAGTTTCTCTTTCTGTAAGGTAAAGATTATAGTGCCCTTTATACTGGATTATTCTTGGGGTTAGGTCAAGTTGAAAAGTATGAATGCACTTAGAATAAATCTAGCACATGAAATGTAAAATTTTGTGGAGTTCAAATTTAAGGGTTTTTTTCTATTCATATATGGAGTTACCTCAATTTGATTTTGATTTATTAACCAGATTAATGGACTGCTGAAGATTTGTTTTTCTGAGGATTTATTTATGACCAAAAAAAAAAAAAAAAGTCTAGCTGGGCAGTGGTGGTGCCATTAATTAATTAATTTCGGGAGTTCGAGGACAGCCTGACAGGGTTGTTATATAGAGAAACCTTGTCTCAGAAAACCAAAAAAGGAAAGGAGGAAGGAAGGAAGGAAGGAAGGAAGGAAGGAAGGAAGGAAGGAAGGAA